ACTCTCATCTCTGTAAAAATAGTTGTAATAGCTAACCCAATATAAAGTCAATAAAGTATTACCACAAGTATGGCCTTAGCAAAAAAAAAAAAAAAAAGATTTAAATATCAATAACAACATGCAAGATATCTTAAAAATAAGTCTTTAATTTTAGTTAATAATATGTTAACTTTAGAGAAATAAATGTAAGTACATCAAGTATTACTATATAAAATAAAATATATAATAATAATAATATATATATAATTAAAAATAAATATAAATACATTAATATTATTTTATTTAATTAAGTTTAAAATATGTATGCAACAAGGTATATAGATTATTTGAGGCATTATAATATACAAAACATCAGAATAGCATTTTTTATATATATAGCCAAATCTATTAAAAAAATATAAAAAAAAGTAAATAGAATTTTATAATTTAAAAAAATCTGAAATAGAGTTTGCCTTATTGTACAATTGTTAACTTGAGTAAAAAAATTAATAGAAACTATTTTTATATACAAATATAATATTAACTATACTTTGTGAACAGCTATCTGTTGTTTCATTTGTAATAACTGCTATATGTTTTTGCTTAAAAAAAGATTTAAAACTATTTAAATAACTTAAAAAATTTGAAGAAAGTATAATTGATATAATGTAGATGCTTGTGAAATAGTCTCACTTTCTTTGTAATATTTTTTAAAAAATAATATAACAAATTAATTTTTTTATATAAATATTAGCTAATATAAAAGATTTAATTAAATTATTTAAAAACTTTTTTTGGATTTAAAAAATAAAAAGATGTAATAAGAGTTTGTTAAAGTTTATTTTTTTGAAAATTCTTGTTTGGTTTGTGAGTTTTACTATTAAAATAATTATCAACTATTGACTTTTATATCTAATCTATAGAATAATTGTAAAAATTGCAAACCAAAATTCTATTATCAACTCTAAATTTATTTAGATTTTTCTCAATCCTAGTATAAACTATAACTTTTGATATTTTATTTTTACTTTTATTTATTATAGTAAGCAAACTTAATAAAAAATTTATAATTCTTAAATTTTTAAATATAACAAAATGTACTAATATCTTTTATTAAACAAATTTATATTTTTTTATAATTCTTAAATTTTTAAATATAACAAAATGTACTAATATCTTTTATTAAACAAATTTATATTTTTTTTACAAAACTTATATTACTTTTTATTAAACCTTTTTTTTTTTACAAAATAAAGAACAGAAAACTTCTTTATATTACTAAGGCTTTTTACTTAATAATAAACTATTTTTATTACTAATTTTTTATCTTACTTTTTATTTGTGATTTCAATATATTCTCTAATTTTTTGTATTTTAATTATAACTTTTTAATACAATTTCATTATTTTTAGTAATATTAATCTATACAACTATAAATTTTTATTACTTGTTTATTTAGATTAGCTGTTTTAAACTAAAAATTATAAAGATTAACTTTAATAGATATAATTTAAAGAATATAAATATTCTTTTTAGTTTTGTAATATTATCATCTTTATAATTTTTACTTTTTGTGACAATTCTGTAGTAATTATAACATTTTCTGTATTTATAATTCTATTTTATAATTTTTGCAATATTCTGTGCAATGCAAAAAATTATTGTCTTTAGTTATATACTTTATATATTATTAAATTTGTATATATTTGTATTTGTTTACTTTTGTTTTTTAATTATATATTACTATTCGTTGTTTTCAGAATTAATAACAATTTTCAAAAATTTTCAAAAAATTTTTGTAATAAAATGTTTTTGTTATATTATTTTTTAATTTTTTTAGTTATTATGTCTTTATATTATATTTATGTATTTTGTTTCTTTTTTCTTATAATACTTTTGTATAGTTTTTATGCTATTTTTGAGTTATTATCAAATTTGTATTTTTTTCAAATTTGTAACATAAAGAGTTTTTTTTGAATTGATAAATTAATATAATTTTAACTCAAATTATATAATTATTATATATATAAATAAATATTAATTATTTACTAATTTTTTAATAAGTAATCTTTATATAATATGCATAAATTTATATATACTTTTTACTATTTAATAATCTTGCTAAAATCTATTTAAATATTATAATTTATTAAAAAATATTTAATTAATTATATTTTTATATTCTGTAATTCTAAGTTCAAATTCTTTTATAAAATTATTAACATTTTATTTTTATTTGTTCATCCTTAAATTATTTTCTAAAAGTTATGTTTACATCAAGCTTCAAATGTTAGATTAGTTATTATTTTGCATTTTTCATAATTTTTTCTAAAATCCAATTTACCAAATACATAATTGTTGTAATGTTGTAAGATAATTTATATAGTTTGAAATCACTATTCTTTAATTGTATATACAATTAAACCTCTTTATAATTACTGCTTAGTTTTAAGAATTTGATGCTTATAAAGAGTTTGTGCCTATATAAAAGTTAAATTTTATAAATGTTATATAAGTTGGTTCTAAAATTTTGCAATTGTAACTATATAGAAGATGACCATAGAAAGGTCTGACTGTATTTGTAAAATTATTAAACATGTAAATATATAAATTATAGAATGAAGCAGTTACAAAATACAATGTCTGTACATATAGTAAAAAGAAATCAATGTACTTATCTGTTGGTAAAGATAAAGGTATTGGCGAATCATGGTATGTGAATTGAAATTGGCGTTGTAATGACAGTTACTATATTGAAGCAAATTATTTGAAAATATAAATTAGAAGCAAAGAACTCAATACAGTAATAAAGAACTATCTTACTAATATCACGATATATTATATTCTTATTAGTCCGCTTGGCTCTGAATCAACTCTTGAGGCATGATTTTCGGATTTGGAAGGCTCGTGTAACGAAAGTTGTCGACCATGCTATATATATCAGATATAGTTATATATATTGGCACGGTTATACGGTTATACGATTACGGTTCCAAACTCTAATTTGATAGAATTTGGAATTTGACATATGGGACATAGGATGGGATTTGGGATAGGGTGGATTTTACCAAAGTTTGGGATTTGTCCGGTTTTACCATAACATTACCGAACAATCCCATTTGTCCAGATTTGTCCACGGAAAAAATCCCAAATCCCATGAGTTTGTCCGATAAGTATGCGATACTTAGAGAGAGGGTGTGCATTTATAGATGGCAAACGCATAGAACTCTTATGAGATGAAACCAGTTATACCATATATTTAGAGAAAATTTATGTATAACATGCATTTATAAAGGGAAGGTTTGATTGTACATAAAATCATTATCAAAGAGATTATCTCGAGACAATTCAGAGTATTTTGTAGATTATCAAAGAATAGATTTCCATAGTTAGTAGATAAACCTTATCGGTCACCAAAATCAAAAAAAATTTGAATCGTTAAAACTTGTTTCTAATCTACATTAAACATTATGATCTTAACATGAGAGGCTCAATCTTAAAAAAGATGCAAATTTTTGAAAATATAAATCCATTACGTAATTGGCGTCGCCAAATGGTTCGAGATGAAAAGCTCATTGGGCTTGTCCCAACTATGGGTTGCTTACATGAAGGACACCTGGGACTAAGTGAATTATTTGAATAATTCTATAATGTAATTATGTTAATATCGTACATTTATAATATTGTAAAAATTTTTTTTTTCTGTTCATTAAGTGAAACAAGCAAGTAAACATTGTCAGGCTGTCGCCGTCTCTATTTTTGTAAATCCTGCACAATTCGCACCTAATGAAGATCTTGATAAGTATCCTCGGACTTTATCTGATGACCTTGCTAAGTTATCCGCTATAAATTGTGTAGATGCTGTTTTTATACCAAAAGTGGAAGATATTTATCCGACTGGGATTCATTTAGATGTAGAAAAACAACTTGGCACTTTTGTAGAAGTAAAGGGAAAATCGCATCAGGTAAGACACTAATGCTGCTAATTAAATGTAATGTACATAGTTTTCGGCCAAACTTTAAAAGAATGAAGCAAATACATTTTTTATATGAGTAACGGCAAGAGAAGGCCTGTAGATTATTCTTTTTGAATATTTACTTTTATTAAAAAATATTTTAACTTAATTATTATTTAAATCGTTTTTTAATGAGATGATTCGAATAATATTAAAACTTTAAGCATTCAACTACCTGGTTTTGAAGACATTTCTATTAAAAGTAAATATTTAAAAAGCATGATTTACAGGTTTTATTTTACCGTCACTAATATATAAGGCATTGACATAAATTACAGCATTCCTATTTATTATAGAAGCTTACCCCCTCCCCTAAAAAATGGGTTCCAAGTTCATTTCAAAGACAATTATTTCACAGACAGCCATTTTACCGACAAAGTAATTCTGATCATTTTTGTTAGGGTTAGGTTTAGGAACAGAGTTAAGGTTAGTGCAATTTAAAAAAAAAACTTGTCGGTGAAACAATTGTCAGTGAAATGAACTTGTCGGTGAAACAATTGTCAGTGAAATGAACTTGTCGGTGA